GGCTCCGTGAGCTCACTGTAGAGTAGCCTCTGCCTTCAGAGTTCCAGTTGGCAGGCAGGATGGCAGCCGTGCTTGATGAGTTTGAATTACTCCTTTTAAAATTAAAAGTAAAATATGTTTCCCATCTAACCTAATTGTGGAATGAATGTGTTTCTGAATAGTTTGGAAATCAAAGTTCTAGAATTAAAAATTATCTGATACAACACCGATGTATTGTTATATAGAGTAGATAAGAAATAAAGGGTATGTTTAATACCATTTTCAATCTACCCATTCACTTTCAATCCAGTTATATAATTTTGATTGAAAATTGGATATTTAAGTTCAGATCAGATTAGCTTATTACTTTTAAACATACACATACATGTATCTTTTTGTTTGGTTGTACATATCTCCACACTAGAGATTTTTGAATGGCCTATGTGTAGACTTTGTTTTTTTATAAGCTTAAAATTATACACATTTTAATGTGTGTCAAGAACTTGTTCCATATAGTTGTGGTATCGAGCAATAATGTGAATAACTTTGAAATTATATAAACTGTTTAATAATTTGTATTAAGAATTGGTACCACTACCTTCCTCCCTGTATTAAACCTTTTAAATACCAATTTTGTTAATTTATATACCTGTATTTTTAAAAAGTGTTTCTTTGTACTTCTCTAAAGTACTGTGCTTCTATATAAATTTGAATAGCAAATGCCAGTATTTCATATCCTATATGGGACTTTAGGAATTGTCTTTAATACTTTGACTTAAGACAGTGTCCCAATGTGTGTGTGTGTGTCTCTCTCTCTCTCTCTCTCTCTCTCTCTCTCTCTCTCTCTCTCTCTCTCTCTCTCTCACACACACACACACACACACACACACACGAACTTAACATCTTGAATCCATAGAAAACTTCTCTGTGAAGCACTCAGAGTACAAAGGATTTAAATGGTTCACCCCTTTATCTAACCTTTGTTTAGCCAGGGTAGATATGTCCTACCACCGTAAGTAGTACACTTCAAAGTAATGCTGTTCCAGACTGCAGTGTTTTCTGTGTTTCCGTGTGACATGATTGTGTATTCACACAGTGCTGAACTCACTTGGGCTTCAGAAAGAGCAGCAAACCGTGATGACCGTGCAGACTACACAACAGTGCTCCCTGGACACAGCTGTCAGTCTGTAGAATGCCATAGCTGTGGGCTGCAGAGGAAACTTTGACCTAGTTAAGAGGCCATTTGTCTCCCGTTGGTCAGTTGCAGTTTCAAAATTATATTGTAAGACTGTCTTCACAACTAATATTAAGTACAGGATTTTAAAGGCTTTTACAACTGTAATTAGAAATGTGTTCCTTGCTGAGAATGTATACGCCCACACTTCAGATGTACACAGAAAAGAACCATGGTGCATTACCACAAACCAATCACACCTCAAGCACTTAGAGTTTTCACTAATGGCTTACAGTATTACTGTTTTTTAGATCATAAATTTAAGTTCCCATGTACTGGAAATTATATGTCAGGGGCACCCTTGTTACTCGAACATCAATCAGTCCAAGGAACTGAAGCTTCTCCCTCAGCTCCTGTTTTCTGATCCTAAGTTTGTAAGTCAGGAACCATTAGTGCTTTTTAGATTGGCCAAGGAAGTAGATCACTATCAGATAATCCCATGTGTATGTAAGCCAATAAATTAACTATGTTCTTTTTTGTACATTATTGGCTTTTTACAGGTAGTCACTATTGCTACATAGAAACTCTTTTCCCAGACAGTTTATTTTACAAACTGTTGTATTTTACACACATCTGTGGATATTTGGATTAAAATCACTACTCCAGAGTTCAGTAGCAGTGGTAAAACTGATGTGACATTTTTAGCTTTGAGGTGAATGTTGCTGCCTTTCTCTATCTAAATTACCAGCTGATATTATACCAAGAGTCTTTAATGACTAGATTCCAGTTCTTTAGAATATAAACTATATAATTTTGCCTTAAAATGCACAAAATTTAACAAAACCTTGGATAATAGTAAACCATGAGTTCCACTAACTACTAGAATAATTTTGTATGTGAACAGTTTTCAGTCAGGAAGAACCACACCTTTCCCCATAATGGTTTTCTGGGGTTTGGGGAGTATTTCTGATTGCATCCTTGTAGATACAAGCTAGCTGTCCAGCTCTGGACAGTTTCCACTGAGGTCACGTGGAAGATGCTCGCTGGCGATTGTGCAGTTGGGACCTCTATTTGCACAAGTTCAGATACGCCACTTTTTTATGTTGCTCTGTACATAATCAGACTGTCTCAATTTTCATGATGTTTGGCTTCACAATTTACCGGGTGAAATTTAGCTGCGTGCCTCAAGTTTCATTGTACAGATTTACTTTGATTTGCTATTGCTGTTTCAAATTGTCTTTGACACTGCACCAGCATCTAGCTGCAGGCCCTTTTATCCCGGTAGACCTTGTGCTGGCTCTGTCACCTCAGGCCTGGGCGGCAGTCGGCAGCACTCTGCCACTGGTCCAGGGTTATCACCTAGACCTGGGAATAGTTCAGAACTGCCTTTTGTCTTCATTTATCAAGGAAACCATTGAAAATGTTAATTCTTTCTCATTCTTTTTCGTTTTCAGATAGAGTCTTACGTAATCCAGCCTCGTCCTCAACCCCCAGTTCCCTTCCCTAGCCTACAGTACAAAGATCACAGGCTAATATTTTCATTATTCTAATAGTACTGAAAACAGATTTCCCGATGCTGATCCTGTTTTGTTTTGAGATGGGTTCTCATGTAGTCCAGGCTAGTCTCAAACCTTCTGTGCAACTGAGGCATTGGCTCTGGTGCCAGCAAGATGCTCATCTTGATTTCAGGATATTTCTGATTTTTACAAGGTCATCAAATCTTCTGCCCACTTTATTTTTTATTTTTGCTTTCATTGTCAAAAGAAGATGCTATGACTACCTCATGGTGTTACCTTTGTTGTTTAGTCTTATTCATCAAGTTTTATGTGAGAGCACGCACCTAGAGAAGTTTCCACAGGTTTCCTGAGACGTGACTCACAAGACATCCACCTGCCGTTGTCTCCCGAGGATTAGGATTAAATGCGTCCTGGTTCACAATTCAACTCTTAAGCAGAGGGAATGAGCTTATTAATTAGTGGCTTCTAGATTTTTTTTTCTGGGGGTTGTGGGGACTTCAGACAGGCCAAGGCTCCATAGTGGACTGAGAAGGCTCTGTGGTTCACATCCATGCACACCTACGGTGGACAGCACTCCCACTGATATCTGGGAATAAAATAATTAAATTGACCTCCTTATGAATTTGAGTTTAGAACTTGGTGTGGTGAACTTGAAAGTCTTGCAGTAGGCATCTGCGAACGTCTCACTTGGTGGTGGAACTCTTGCCTAAGGCCCAAGCTTATTCTGTGGAGGAACAAATGGAAAAGTGCATCTTCTATCTTGTGCCCTTGCTCCTTTAGTTGTCTTTAAATTCTGAAGTGAATGCAGATTGCCAGTTACCCTATTAGGCACTCAAAATTTCAGGTTAAGGCAGAAATAACTCTGGTCACGACCCCCTGTAAATACACATTTAGAGTGCCTGTATATTGCGTATGTCAAGTGACTTAAGCACACGGGGTTTGTCCCATTTTATTTGACCCAGATCCCAGTAGTTAACATGGAAAATACTTATGCATATATCCACATGTCAGTGCATAAACAACTTTTACTTCAAAGGGAGTAAGTTTATTCTGCAGCCATGGCCTGGAAAGAGATTGAGATTATCCCAAATTCCATATTCCAGTGTGGCAGATGTGTCCTCATATTTTTATAGCAACAGAACAAAGTCATCAGTCCAGGCACTTTTCAGACACTGGTGGAAATCCCAGGTCACAGCAGTCAGCTGTGTGGCTCAGATGCTGTCTGATGGCATTCTTAGCCTTTTAGTGGGTGGAAGCCAGTGGCATGTTGATACATTTGGAGGACTTGACCTGTTTCAAGGGTCTGAGAAATGGCTACTAAGCAGCTAATGACACAGGTGGCCCAAAATAAATTGAAATCAAGCTCTATCAGACAGCATACCATCCCCTCCACAGTCTATTCAATTAACAGCCTTACAGAAAGTCTTGTTCTCAGGTGTGTATTTGTGTGCTTGGCATAGGGAAAGCCACATAGAGGTATAATTCTGACAAAAATACCAGATTCGGTTCTCTAGGACTGGCCAGGTGTGGTGGTGGACACTTTTAGTTCCAGCACTGGGAAGACAGGCAGGCAGATGGCTGAGTTTTGAGGTCTACGAAGGGAGTTCTAGTACAAAGTTACACAGAAACCCCTGCCTCAGAAAACAAAAACTTCTGTAGTATGCAAGAGAAGATTACCTGAATTGCTTCACTAGATACAAAATGGCGGTGCTACATGAAACATTTGAAGAGAGAAACTTTAGCTTTAGTTTTGCATTTTGGTGTTTCCTTGAACCATTTCTGTATTGGAGGGTTTTTTTTTTTTAAAAAAAAGAATGATACCTTATTTTCTGAATTTCCATTTCTTTGACTGTTTTCATTCTAACAAAAACGAGAGCATTCTCAGAATTGTATTCCATTTCTTTTTTCATAAACAGAAACTGCAGCAAAATGCCCTTGCTGCCCGCAGTAGTTAGTATCTTAGAATCCACTGCGGAAAGCCCAAGAGACAGCACAACCTTTTGTACCTACAGTCTTAGATATTGCTAAATAGCCATTCAGCTTTCTTCACATTGTGTGTGAGAGGAATATTTCTTAAGACTTTTTGTTTGCTTTAGCAAAGAAATCAACGGAGGAAAAAAAACTTCAAAAAACAAAACAAACAAAAAACACCCTGTAACTCATGTGAAGCATGCAGGGTGTTGTAATTTCAGTTTGCAAAGCTCTGAGATACAATGTTGCAGAGCCAAAAGCACACGATAGATTTAATGTAGCCAATTGTGGACTTTTGAAAAAAAGAGTAACTGTTCCCTGTGAGTTAATTTTGGATTTTTTCAAAATCTCTCTTTTAGGCTTTGTGCTGGATTCTTCCAGACAAATGCGTCTTCCATGTGGGCCAGTGTTCTGCTAAATGCTCTCCGTTCTCCCTTTGCAATCAAGACGATGTTGCTAAGGAGATTTCGCTTTTATTGGTGCCATTGGTTTGTGTTAATACGTTTTGAATACCTCTTGGTATTCTTCCGTAGACAAGGCCAAAAGAAAAACTTCCCCGAGTCCCCCAATTTACATGACAAATGGAGCGGTGGTGTAATGAAGCCGAGCTAAAGTGGGCAGTTGAAAGGAACCCAAAGAAGGGCACTCAAGTGAGAAATGAAGAGACGTGCAAGTGCAGTCTGCAGGCTGCCTTCGGGCCAGCTGCAGGAACTGGCTCCAGCCAGAGGGAGAGTGAGCCTGCACCTCCCTCTGCAGAGACCACCCACTTTTGGAGCTGGGACTGACACACCATAGATTACCTCACCGACACAGGACCACTTAAAAGTGAGCCAGGCTTCCAAGCAGGCAAGAGATGGTCCTTCCTCAGCCTTTTGAGTTCTGAGTCTGGCATGGGCCGGGCCTGCGTCATGCACCTTTTGAACTTAAGTTGCTAATGAAGTCCTCGAGTTCTGGTTCTCAGGACTGACATACTCAAACTTACTTGGAGAAAGATTTTAACTGGTCACATTTGTTATACTCTTAAGTTCCTTTGTATCACATCTCGGATGCCAGAACCCTTTTTTTTTTATCCAGGAGCTCTGAGCGAGTGACGCCATCCGAAGCTGCTTGAAGAAGTGCAGCATGTGAAAGCCCGAAAGACTGCTGTGGGGTACATGTTTACATGTGGGGTACATGTTTACATGTGGGGTACATGTTTACACTTACCTTGTTCAGACCCTGTTCACATGTTAACACAAACCATGTGTTATCTACAGTTGGTAGCATGCTGGCCTAGCATGCATGAGACCCTGAGTTCAATCACCTGCACCATATAAATGGAATTTATAAACCCAGCACTGGGGAGGTGGAGGCAGGAGTATCAGAAGTTCCAGGTAATCCTCAGCTGTACAGTGAGTTCAAAGCCAGTCTGGGATACGTGAAACATGAAGAATAATGGAAACATGAAAAATTGCTATAGCCGTCTGAGGAAATTAAAAGTTGATCCCAAAGGAAGCCCTTTGTATCTACTGAGGTATTTAGAGATGAAAATTCTAATAGTTCGTTAGTTCGGCAAAAGAAAACCATAAACTGATGGCTCGTTAGTAGCCAGTGGTGCAGCAAGGTAAGCAGACCATCTTGTGTCGCTGGGGAGTAGAAATCTAGTTCCTCTGCCATCATCTTCAGTACATTTCCCTCTGTGGGAGACGCCTGCTGACCACTGTGCTTACTCCAGATGTTCAGACCAGACGTGGCACTTTTTGTCAGTTGTCAAGAAATACTACAGTTTGGGGTTTTTTCCCTTAGAATATTTTTGCATCTAGTTTGTCTTTCAACATGGTAGTTCTGGCAGGATCTGTCAGTGGTTTGTGAATACGCTGGACCATTTTTCTGTCACATAAAACTAAATGTAGTTTATGCAGTATAGCTCAGCTTGCTAGCTTAGCATGTCCAAGGTCCTGTTTCCAGTCCTCGGCCTTCATAAAACAAGCACACTGGCCCACCTGTAATTCTGGCACTTGGGAAGTAGGGACAGGAAGATTAGAAATTCAGGGTCATCCTTGGCTATGTGGGGTTCAGAGTCAGCCTAGGTTAGAGATCTTATCTCAGAAAATAAAGCTAAAGTTAAGAATTCTAAGAATAATGAAAACACAGCTAAGGATTGGAGGTGAAACAAGGTATTTTATGTGTGTTAAGAACTTAAAGATTTTTCTGAGACTCAGTCTAAAATTTTTACACTGGGGGAGTCCAGAATCCTAGGGAGACATTCCTCTCCAGGGCTGTAAGCTGTGCATGGCACAGTTTCTTCTCTTCAGAAAATGAAACAACAAACCCACCCATCTCACAAAGATATGTAGAATTTGACGGGCATTATTTCAAGGTTTTGAGCTCTGCAGAGCCAGCTTTCCATCGCAGCCTACTCCTGGTAATTTTTCTGGGTGGAGGCAGCATGAGGGATCAAGCCTCCGCCCTTATGTGTGTACGAAGCAAGTACTCTACCACTCAGCTATAGACCCCATCCTGTTGGGTTAAAACTTTCTGGAAGGAAGTAAGAATAAATCAAGCACTCCGCCTTGATTGTCTTGCTTGTGTTGTTTGTTTTGTTTTTCGGTGTCTGTTAGCAGGTACTGTGAGAGAAAAGAATGATTTAGACCCAGAGTCGGGAAGTTCCAGTCCACAGTGAGTTGGCTCCATTGCTCTGTGTCTGTGGTGAGAAGACTCATCTTGGCGGAGTACGTGGAGGAGCAGAGCTGCTTGCTTATGGCTGGAAAAGAAGAGAAAAAGGAAGAGACTAGAGCCCCATTTTCCTCTCTAACTGCATGCTCTCCCCCCCCCCCCAGTAACTTGAAATCCCTCTCATGCTTAAGTCTCTGCTGCTCCCAAACAGCACCACTCTGGGAACACATCTAACGTGGGCTTTTGTGGGACGCTCAGGACCCCAAATGTAACATTCCTTGGGGGCAAAGATGAGGTGGACCATCAGAAAGCACCAACTAACGGCCTTACTCAGAACCTTCGGTCATTAGGCAGCCCCTGACAGGGCTCCAGGGAAAGCATGTGTGGAGGAAAGCGCTGTCTTCTCGCCCAGCTCTGTCAGCATTGGGCCTCAGTCATAACCCTCAGTGAGGAAAGGCCCCTGCCACCCAGTCCGACATCCCAGAATTCCCTTCACAGGGTGCACAGAGGTAGGAGAGGACCAACTCTTGAGGCCCTCAGATCATCTGTGTCCCATAGCATCTACTCACTTGTGCTCGTGGCACATTCACACTAATAAGGTTTTCACAGCTGGGTGGACATGCCTAGGGCTTGGGAGACTGGGGGAGGAGGAGGAATGTCACAAGTTAGGCATTGTCCTGAGCTACATAGCACAGTGTCTGGTCACCCAAAAAGGGAAAGGGGGGAAGAGAAAACACCCCCCCCCAACTAGGAAGCTTTATTCATTTTGATCTAGAATACTCATGCTTGTACACATCTACCTCGTGAAAACGTAAAGGACAGGGGGAGAAGAGTGTGTATATTTTTATAAGATGATTTAAAAAAAGGTCTCTCCCATTCTTACCTAATTTCATAACATGAGGCCCAGAAAGTAAGCTCATTAAAGGCCATCCGTTGTTAGTGCCAGTGCCAGGCCTAAAGTGAGGCCTCTAACTCTGATTCACATATGGGGCCCAGAGGTACACATGCTCCCATATGTAGAATCCCCTTTCTTGACAAATGGAATGATAAAAATTACAAAAGTGATCTCTTGGAATGCGTGCAAAAAGCCCTGGGCCAGGGAGATGCTTCTCCAAATAAAGGTGCTTGGCACACAAGCCTGGTGGCCCGGGTCCATCCCCAGAGCCCCATAAAGGCAGTGGGAGAAAACCGACTCGGCAAAGTTGGCCTTTGACCTCCACAATCGATTTGTGGCAACAGAGAGAGGCCCAATCACCACAAGATCTACAAACGAGCAAATAAAAATCATTTTACAGCCTCGTTACATGGTAGTAGGTTACGCTGAGGGGTCAGAGAAATGAGATTGCAAGTTCGAGGCCAGTCTGAGCCATATCTAGTCTTAGGAACTGACAAGATGGCTGGGTGTGTAAAGGTGCTTGCCTTGAAAGCCTAGCCATCTGAATTTGGTCTCCTCAAGTGAAAGTGAAAGAGAACTCATACCACAGAGTTGTTTTCTGGGCTCCGTGTGCATTTGGGGTGGGGGTGAGGGCACAGGTGCCTTCACACATACCATAATTTTAAGATTGAATTTATTTGTGGGTGTATGTGCGGCCATGGCATTGAAGGTCAGAAACCAGGGGACCTCTTCCCCCATCCACCATGTGAGTCCCAGGGATCAAACTCATTGTCAGGCTGGTGGCTCAGGCTGACCTTTACCTACTGAGCCACCGTGACAGCCCCGATTTATTTATTTGTTCTTTCTTTCATTTATAAAGAAGTCTTGCACGGTGGACTGAAAGGGCCTTGTGCACTAGGAGCATCAAGAGGTAGAGTGTGGCTTTGCCCTCCAAAGGAGTGCTGAGATCAGCCCTGCGTACAGCCCTATCAGCTGTGACTTAGAGATTCAGTTACTTATTGTTCACGGTGTGTAAACATTTAGAACGGCTGGCAGCCTACCAGAGCCACAGTTAAACATTCTGCAGCCTCACTAGACGGCTGGGTAGCCAACTTCATGTCAGATTAAACACATTCGTTTACCATGAATAGCTTGGGGTTCCCCCCTCAAAAAAAAAAAAAAAAAACAACCTGAGTTCATTATTTGAAAAAAATGCAATGGGTGTGTTGTTTTCCAAATTGAAATTAAGTGTCTTTGCTTCCATTCTGACGGTATTTATCAAACGTATCTTTGGTGATGGCGAGACTGGTGGGACAGGAACGAGCAGAGATTTGGGGGTTGATAAAAATTACTAAAAGGACACCTACATACTTGGGCATAATGCAGCTGACGGGTGAACATTTGTGGACTTTATAACGAATACCCTCAGAAGATGGGGACTGTCATTCCCAAACTCGGGAGACTGAGGCAGGAAGATCCTGAGTTCCAGTCCAGTGTAAGCTTAGAGTGAGCTGCCATAGCAACAACAGCATAAACCAGGCTTGTAATCTGGCCATTTGGGGAGCAGAGGCACGAGGATGGAGTCACATGGTAAGGCCTCGTCTCAGAAAAAACATTAACACAGAAGCCCTCACAAAAGCATAATGAAGTCTCCCAGATAGTGCATGGCTCTAAAACATGGGCCTTAGGGTGAGAAGGGCTCTTCCGCTGGCTTGTTCCCAGGGACAGTGGCTGGCTCCAAGGAGCAGGGAATGAGGTGTGGGAGGAAGGATGTTATTTTATTTCACACGCTTGCATTGCTGTTCAGAAAGATTAAAGAATGATGCGAGTGAGCCATCCCACTCCTTTCTTTTGCCTTGATCCAGCTAACTATCAGCCTGGGGCTCTGAAGGGTGTATGAGGAGGATGGTGGCAGGAGCAACAGGGGGCACAAAGGTGGTGCTCACTAATTCTTCAGGGATGCTGCATTAGCCATTTTAGGTGGGGTCCTTTTATTTTTTTTTTTTTTTCCAAAGAGTCAAAGATAGCAGCCTTGGGGACCACTGAGAACTCAGGACACTTTAAGCGTCAGAGAAGGGTGGGAGGGAACGGCCAAGGAGGAAGCGTTCTTAGGTTTGCACAGGCATTCTCCTGCCAGGCTGTCAGCTGTCCCTAAGTGTCTCTCCACCATGTGCAGGGCAGAGCAAGAGACACAGAAGGCGGACAGGGGGTGCGTGCTTTGTAAGTATCTGGTGAGATAGTCCTCAACTCACCAAAAGGATTCTCCGAACAACGGGCTGAATTAGCACTGAGAACAAGTACCTATTGTGTAGGCCTAAACAGCTTTAAGTGTTTCTTCTAGGGATAATTAATTTAATTAAAATGGTCCCCGAAGCCAAATGAGCTCTGTATTGAGCACTGCACACATTCCTCCCAAATTCCAGCTCAGGGCTGTTGAGAATTAACAGGCTAGCCACCGCAGCTCACCCCTACTTCTGTGGGAATGGCAACCCAGGGACAGCAAGCTGGGGGACTGGCCTTTAGGAGCTCTGTTGTATTGAAGGGAAGATCATCTCCCTCTAGGTTTTGTTTCAAAACTGACGTGGCCATCTTTTTATTTCATGGTGATTTAGGGGATCTCTGGCCGTCGGCCCCGTCCATTTCAGAAGCCCACAGGATAGCCTCCGTGGCTTACGCTCCCTAAAGGGGTGAAATAGATAGACGAATGAAAGAGCCATCCCTCTGCAAACAAGATTTGGGGTCTATTATTTTTCGGAGTAAGTAAATTGAGCAGCATTTGGTCTTAGAGCAAAACCATCATGCTGTCGAGTCTCCCAAGAGGATATGGTAAGACATCATTTCACTGAATGGCGGCTTAGTTATGGTGGATCGAATTCAGCATGCCTATTCCAAACCACACGGCAGTGGCCCTCAGGGAGGCTGCAGGGAATGGCTGCTGGGTTAGCAGCCTGTGGAGTCAGGAAGATGGCTTTCTGGGCTCTCTATGGCTTGTGACTTGTGCACTGGCATGGCTTTCACACTCCCCTCTGCCTCAGTTTCTTCCTGTATAAAATAAGAATAACATAAAACGCAGTACATACTTTTCTAAATATCACATTCTAAATATTGCCTTCCACAATCAAACCCATCACTCATCTTCCTTGAAATGTCTGGATGTCGATATGAAGTGGGACGCAGCACCTCATTAGATGGAGCCTGGGATCTGGTATTTGATAACTTCTGGCTCTAAATTTCAAAATTGAGGGCTCAGTGGGTAAAGGTGCCTGCTTCCAAATGGTGTTCAGTTCCCAAGACCCAAATGATGGAAGGAAGAACTGACTCCAAGTTAGCCTCTGACCGCCATTGGACACACGTGACGGCCCTAACAGAGTAAGTGATGGATGTGAGAAGAGACAGAAACAAGAACGAGCAGCATTGGTGTTGGGAAACCCTTGGAAGCTGGGTAAGGCGTTGCATGCCTGTAACCCCAGCTGCTTTGGGGAACTACAGGAAGAGGACTGACAGACAGTTCAAGGCTTGTCTTGATTACTCAGCAGATTTGAGGCCAGCCTGAGCAATTCATCAAGACCTTGCCTCAAAATTCAAATTTTAAAGGTGTAGTCAGAGAGCATCTAGCCTAGCCTCACAGTGTAGATTCTGTTCGCAGTGCCGGCACAAAGGGCAATGCCCTTGAGGGTTCAGAGAGGGTGCACCTGAGTCGCCCTCACAGAAGCCTCATGAACTTGGGGGTCCCTTCACCACTCCAGACACTAGAGGACTCTGAAATGCTCCAAGCACCCCTCTCTCTCTGCTCCAAGTTTCACCATCCCTCTGTGCCCTTTGCTGGATTTTCAAACACAATTTGTGTTACTCATCAGTTTTCTACAGGACCGTTGAGTAAAAAGGCTGGACCTAATTTCTGTGTCAATAAATGGGCTTATTTTGATTTTTACAGGGGCTCACTAAGAATGACCTTGAATTTCCAATCCTCCTGCTGGGATTAAAGGCACAGTCCAGCATGCCAGCTTTATTTGGTGCTGGGGATCAAATCCAGGGGTTCGTGCTAGCTAGGCAAGCACTCACCCCCAGGTCCCCAAGTTTCCCTTTTTACTAATTCAAAGATTCGGCTCACACAACTTAGCAATAGTGCTAAAGCCTTCAAGACTGGCTTTTCCTCTTGTAGTCCCACGGGACTGAATTCACTTTGGCTGTGAACAAGAAAGCCATTTCGGGCCTCCCATCACCCTTTTGTGTCTCCTCTGATTGCGGGGCTCCTGACGCCTGGTGCCGCACAAGGAGCATGCTCTCCCCCACCCCCTTCCCCTTGCAATAGAAACTGAGAAACTGAAGGACGTTACTTATTTTCTTTGAAATGTCACTTTAGTCAGTGCTCTGCTACCTTGCAGGGAGATCACACTGCCCACGGAGGAGGGTTAAGCTGTTACTGATCTTTCATCTTGCAGAACTATCTGCAACTGGGAAGGGTAAACTCCCCACATCACAGAACCCAAGGAAGAGATTAGCGCGATGAGACGGAGGGCTACCGCCAGTCCATCTATTCTAGACCCCAAACCGAAAAAATGGTTGCTCATGCTCATCATAATTACAATGACATTAAGGCGCCTTTTGGGGTTGTTTTTGTTTCTTTGTAAATGGGATTTAAGAACCCTACCCTATGAAGAGGACGAATGGAACTGCGTGCCCACCAGGTGCAAGAGGTCCGTTTGTGTAGCGTGAGTGCGCTAATCCCCCCCCCCCCCTCTGTTTGGCAGCAAATCACTTCCTGGTGCGCTCGGTAATAACAGGCAGCTGTCCTGTCAGCCCTGCTGGAAAATGAGATAATAAGGCCGGCCAACGACGCCCTTTATGTCAGAATCCACCACTTCCTGCAGTTTGCTTCTGAGATGCTTTAAGGGACAGGGATCGGAGCAATTTTCACACCGTTTCTCCTTCTTCGTCTTAAAAAAAAAAAAAAAAAGTTTGTCCAAATTCTTGGTGAATGTCATTTCCCTTTGGGACATTTGGTGAAAAAGGGGCAGCCCTGCTTCACTGCACCGGGACAGAAGGCTTCCAAAAAGCCTCTGAATGGGGTCCGTGAAAGGAAATTCCCCACTCAAAGGCGACAGAGGTGATCAGAACTGTCGCTAGGGCCTCGAGGGATGGGTTTGACTCTAAGGAAGAGGACTGCTGGGGACCTTTCTGTCAGCAGCCCTTTCTGGAAGCTGCAGGAAGAGCAACCGTGACTTGCAATGCTGGAAAATCGGCTGTCCGTGGCCTCCCAGCCGGGAGATTGCAACTGGATAAACGTCCCGGGTGGTGGGCAGGACGCATGCTTCCGGGTTCCTAGAAACCCAGAGCTGGCCTTTCTCTCATTTCTTGAAACAAAAAAAGGAACTCAAGGCTCACGCTGGAGCTTGGTATTGAAACTGGGGGCTTGTCTTGATAGCCAGGGCTAGAGTTAGGGCCTTTCGCTAAGACAGCAGGCACTGTTGGGCACTTTCTCTGATCTGCGCCTGGTTCCTATTGCAAATCCTCATCATGGGCTGAGGCCATGTAGTTCAGTGGTTACATGCTTGCCTAGCATGAATACGGGCTTGGGTTCTGTCCCCAGCACTGCAAAACAAACAAATGAGTTAATCCTGCTTATGAATGCAGAGCAGCTCACACGCTTAGAGAACATGTAAGTTAGAATATGGGTTTTTGAAGCTGGAAAGATGGCTCCACAGTTAAGAGGACTTGTTGCTCTTGCAGAGGACCCAGGGTTCAGTTCCCAGCACGGACATGGTGGCTCACCACCACTCCAGTTCTAGGGCAACCAGCTCCCTCTTCTGGTTTCTGAGGGTACCCAGCAAGCATGCAATGAACATACATACATGCAGGAAAAACCCTCATATATATAAATAAACAAAACTAATAAATAAATAAGATTCTTGTGAAGTCAAAATTCTAAGAAATGTATTTCTCCTGCTAAAAACACAAAATCCATGTAATATTTATAAACTTATTTTCTAAATTTGGGATCTGACTACATG